TTATGTGCCACGCACCGGGGAGGGGGAGGGGAGGCGCTTTCACGCTCAGGCTCACGGGAAGAGCAGCGTGGTTCCTGGCAGATGGCCCCTGGGGTGTCCACAAGGCAGTGGCCCTGGGTGTCGGGTCATTTGGCTCTGGGCCCTTGGGGGGGTCAGGGTAAGGATTTGACCCTTACTGCTCTGGACGCTTTTGGCTAGAGCCTCAGCCTTCTGTGCCCTGGGTGGGCTCTGGGACGCTGTGCAGGCCCCTCCTGTGCTGAGTGTGGGTATGGACTAGCCGCTCTTGAGGGGCCTCAGATTCTGCTGCTCTGGGAACCAGTGACCAGAGCCTGAGCTGGCCCTGATCGTGCGTCTGTCCTGGTCACTTGCTCAGGACAGGGGGCTGCTGGCCAGGCCCGGGCAGCCTGAGAACAGATCTGGTCCTACGCACACGTGTGTGCATCCACGGTGTGCACACGTGTGGGCCTTTGCACGGGCTATTCCCTGCGCCTGGGATCCCCTCAAATACCCACGTGGCTCCTGCCCTCCCCCTCCTGGGATCTTGGTTCCAGTGTCACCCGTTAGAGGGGCCTTCCTGATCCCTCCCCTCCCCTGCTCCTGCTTACTTCATTTATTTTCTCCTGGCACCCAATTCCCACCCAAACCCTCAGCATCTCCTGTCTCCACCCCCGGGCTGCGTCTAGGCTGGAGCCCTGGTGGACAGGCGCCCACGGGGCTGGCTGCGCTCCGAACTATGCCTGGCGGGCCGGCGGTGCCGGGGACGATCATAGAAGGAAGGAGCGAACGTGCCGGGCACTCAGGCGCTCAGGGCACACGCTGCGGCTCGGGCTCACGCACACGCGCACACGGATGCGCTGGGAACCCACCTTCACTGTTGCTCAAGGCTGAAAGCAGCTTCTGTCCCCCCCCCCCACGTGCAGGGACCTCCTGTCACTCCAGAAGAGAGGGGGAGAGAGGGGAGGGAGGTTGATATACACGCCCTCCTCCTGTCCCCTGTCACCCCACCCCATGTAAGTCACTTGGCATCTGACCCTCCCACCTAAGGGGTCCCAGCCCACAGGGCACATTTTTTGGGGGGATACTGGGGATTGAACTCAGGGCACTCGACCACCGAGCCCCATCCCCAGCCCTGTTTTGTATTTGATTCAGAGACAGGGCCTCCCTGAGTTGCTTAGGGCCTCACTATTGCTGAGGCTGGCCTTGAACTTGAGATCCTCCTGCCTCAGCCTCCTGAGCCGCTGGAATCACAGGCCTGCGCCACCATGCCCGGCTCCACAGGGCACCTTTTGCACAAGCACTTTCAGCTCCCTGTGTGGCATCTCCCAGGATGCAGTGGGGGTGGGACGAATCCAGTTCACCTCTGCATCTCCCAGTGTGGCCCTGCCCAGCACAACGGGGACCTCAGAAGTCCTGTTGGATTAACAAATGACCAAGACTTCTAATGCCGTGGGCCGCGCCTGGTGCCCCTGGGCAGTGGCACTTAGTGCTGTGGGAGGCTGAGGGCAGGGCCCTGGGTGGACTGCCTGGAGGTGGCAGCTCCGGAGCTGGGTCTGGAGCGTGGGGAGATGAGGTCATGGGCTCAGGGGTGGAGGACGACAGTTGGAGAGGAAAGAGGAACAGACAGGAGGACGTAGAGCAGGTCGCCCGTGGTGGGCATATGCTGCTGGGCTCTTGCCCCACGAGGGAGTGAGTGAGCGACCGGCTCTTGGCGCCTAGAACAGCAAGCAGCACACAGTAGGCGCTCACTGTGGGGCTGGGAGAGGAGCCGCTGCCTGGGGTGCTCTGCCCCCGCCCCCTGGCGCGGCTGTCGTGAGAGCTGGGGAGGTTCTCTGAGCAGAGTGCAGACGGGTCGTCCCCTCCCTCGCCAGCTGGGCTGCAGGACGGCCAAGTGCAGGGCGTGGCAGTGCCCCACCCGGGCCAGTGTGTCCCAGTCACCCGCTCGCTCCAGACCCACAGATGGGGCACAGTGACCCTAAGGCAATCCTGTCCCCACCCCACTCCAGGCTGACAGGTGTGGGGAGGGAGCCCTGGAGATTCTCCCAGGATGTCCCCATGACGGTGACAGAGAGCTGGGCTGGGAGGGCAGGCGGAGAGGGAAGTCCTGGGAGGAAAGAGGCCCAAGAGAGGTGGGAGGACAGCACCAGGGGCTGGTGGGGCATCACCCCGGAGCCACGGCCTGCCCCCCTGCAGGAAGCAGCACAGGAGTTTCCCGGGTGACCCCGGTGACTCTCACGGCCTCAGGCCACGGCTCCTGATTCATTCCCATCTCACAGCTGGAGAGACGGAGGCCTGGGAGGGGAGGTCACTTACCTGATTTCCCTCCTGGCGAGTGGAGGGGCCGGGATGTGAACCCGAGTGGTTTAGTTCCCACATCTTGGCTTGAAACCTCCTCCCCAGGGAATGGGGAGGCTGCAGGGGCAGGAGCTCAGGTATGGCTGGGGCGGCTCAGAGCCCCATCTTCCCGCAGGCCGACAGCAGACCTGCAGGACCCCACGCTGGGCTCCTGTCCTGTGTGGGAATGGGGCATGGGCAGGGGGCAGTCCACCTGGGGCCCCTCTGAGTGTGGGCCTGGGTCTGAAGCCACTGACAGAGGCTGGACCCAGAGCCATCCATCTGTCCACCGTGGATGCTGGGAGCTGCGGGCAGCTTGACCAGAAGAGGGAGGCGGCTGGGAAGGAGGAATGTGGGATGAGTGAGAAGCAGCAGCCTTGTTGGGATAGGGCTGATTCTTGAGACCTGGGTCTAGTCCAGACACCTGAGTGGGCCTCCCGCCCCTCCATGTCCCGGGCCCTCGTTGGCAGAACACCTCAGAAGTGGGACAGGCTTCATCAGGAGGCCAGTGGAGACCTAAGTGTGTGTTATCACTCCTCGCTGAGGACCAGGCAGAGAGGTCAGTGGTCAAGTGAAAAAGTCAACGCTCTGCCGTGGCCTGGCAGGGCGCCTGCGGAAGAAGCTGGGCGGGGCGTCTGGCCTCTCCGTCTCCACCTCTTCTCCAGCTTCAGCTCCACATTCAGGGCGTTTCTGTGGGGAGGGGCGGCCCAGGGGTGCATTTATTTTGTGTGATTTTATTTAAAAAGTCTTTGTTTAGAAGATGGACATCTCTTCAGGGCGTGGTGGCACTCTCGGGTAATCCCAGTGACTCCGGAGGCCGAGGCAGCAGGATCACGAGTCTGAGGCCATCCTGGGCGACCTAGCGAGACACCCTCTCAGAATAGAAGGGGCTGGGGTTGTAACTCAGAGTAGGGCGCCCCGGCTCCAGCAGCACTCGGTGTATATACAGAAAGACACTTCAGACACCTACGGAAGTGCAGCGGAGCCACCAGCCCCTCGCTCCCGTCACCGGGCACGGCCAGCCCTTGGGCGGGTGGTATCCTGTTCATCCCACCCCCGCCCCTTGCCCAGATTCCAGGCCCCTGCATGTCACCTCATCCCTAAATATTTCAGCACAAGCTCTGGGACAGTGGCTCTCAACTGGGGACAGTTTTGCCCCCTCCCTGGTGTCATTGGGCCACCTGGAGACATCTTCAGTTGTCACAGCAGGGGGGGAAGGAGTTGCCACTGTCACCAAGCTGGTGAAGGCCCAGGATGCTGTTAAACATCCCGCAGGGCATGGGACAGTCCCCAACAAGGAATGACCCTCCCCTCAGGGGCCAGCAGCGTGGAGGGGGAGAGGCCCTGCTCTAAAAGGCAGGGTCCCCAAGAACCAAGAAGGCTACTATACCACCCCTCCTTCACCCTCTCGATGAACGGCTTCCTAGGTCAGCAAAGCCTCTGCCTCCACCCGGAGGGAGGGGAGCTGTCTGATCTGGGAGGTGGTGCCTGGGGATAGGGACACCCCAGGCATTGGCCAGGTGGGCAACCACTAGTTCAGGATGCTCCCCCAATCCTCTTACCCCGGAACATTCCTCTGCTCTGGGGTTCCCAGGACCCAAAGTTCTGGCCCAAGCTTCTTGGCCAGGACTGGATCTTAGTGATTTCTTAGGGGGTGGAACCTTAGGTTCAACAGCAGCACAGATCAGTGTGGCCACTCCCTCCACCTGTCACCTGGACACTAAGAGCAGGGCGGAGGGCACAGGAATTGTGGGTGGGGGGAGGGAATGGAGGCCCAGGGTGCTGACTGGCCCTGGGACCAGTGGGCTGGGGCCTCTGGGTCACTGGGGTGATGGAAGGTGGCGGGATGAGGTGGCAGAAGAGGGTGGTCCACACTCCCCTTCTGTGTCTTTGGGGATATTGGCCACAACTATGAGAGGAAAGGGCCACTTAAGGGGCCCGAGTCTCAGCCCTGCCTGGGGAGTGCCCGGGGGTGGTGGGGCAGGAGGGTGCTCTGTGGCTGGGAGGCCTGCGTCCGCCCTGTGGTTGGTGGAGAGGCAGGCCTTTGCCCTTCTGGGCCCTGCGTCCAGGCTGTGGGGAGAGGACTTCTTGGAGTCCCCCTGCCCTGGCCACCTGGGCTTCCTTCTGTGGGTGGGTGGGGCTCAGGGACAGCTGGAACCTGGACCCAGAGAGAGCTGGGGGGACAGACTGTGGGTGGTGACCAGAGAGGCTGCCTGGGGACAGAGGATGGAGCAAATGACCCCTTAGGGCCCCTGGGACTCCCATCCCCACCCGTAACTGAAGGCTAAATCATGTTGCCCACCTGGGCACATCCCTGGGTCGGGGGTGTGTGTCTGGGGCCCTCAGTCCCAGCACCCCAGGGAGGCCGGCTGGGAGAGTTTTGGGGGAAGGGGTTTTGGTGCTGTTGTGACAGTCCCCTCCCACCTGGGGTGGACAGGATCCCATGAGACACGCAGGAGCCCGCAGCCCCGGGGACCTGGCTGGAGCCAGAGGCTGGGCTGACCCAGCTCTGGCACAACCTCTCTGAGCCTGTTCCCTCCTCTGTGGAGCGGGGTCCCCTCCTGGGTGAGAGAAGGCAGTGCCTGTGGGGCGAGGGGCGGCGGGTCCCAGGCTGTGGGGACGGGGGGGGAGGTGCCAGCGCCCTCGTCAGCAGTCCCTCTCGCCCCCAGATCCCCCAGATCAGCTACGCCTCCACAGCCCCCGACCTGAGTGACAACAGCCGCTACGACTTCTTCTCCCGCGTGGTGCCCTCGGACACATACCAGGCCCAGGCCATGGTGGACATCGTGCGCGCCCTCAAGTGGAACTACGTGTCCACGCTGGCCTCGGAGGGCAGCTACGGCGAGAGCGGAGTGGAGGCCTTCATCCAGAAGTCCCGCGAGGATGGTGAGTCACGTGCAGGGGTGTGGGATCGTGGCACCGTGTGGCCCTGGTGTGATCTCTGCCCTCTCCCCCCACCCCGGCCGCTCCCCCAGTGCCTCCGTCTCCTGAGTGCCTGGGCTTGGGGGCCTCCCTGACGGGTGACTCCTGGGTGAGGTGACGCCTTCTGCAGACATGGCTGTGCTAGTGAAGGACGGTGTGTTCCTGGTGTGGATGGTGGGACAGCAGCTGTCCTCACAGGCAAAGGACAGGAAGGGGCAGGTAGGCATGGAGGGCCTGGCTTAATCAGGTACTGGGGACCCAAAGCTGGTGGCCCCTGTCAGAAGGGCGGGGAGTTTGGAGACCTAAAGCTGAGCTGCCTTGTTGTGGTGCTGTGCTGGCTCGGGCCTCGGTGACAGTGGTGTCCCTCGGGTGAGGAGCTCTGGCAGGTGCTTTGCATCACCTTCCCCACTGAGCTCTTGCGTCACCTAAACTGCTGTCCTCACATGCTGTGACAAAGCTGTCAGGAAGCCCCAGTGTAGGTCAGCGGCTGAGATAACAAGGGTGACACCTTGGGGGGGCCCCAGCCTGGACCCTGACCGACCATGAGCTGAGTGGGGCACTGAGGGGGCCGCCTGTGGGGCAGGGGTGGCAGGCAGGTCCCTGTGTCAGGACAGCCACGGGCAGGACGCTGGCTCCTAGAGGCTGTCCCGAGGGGGATGGTCCCCCTCCTGGCAGCCCAGGTCCCTGAGAGAGGGCGCTCCGGCCCCTCCTGGCCTCTCCCTAGGCCTGTCTCTAAATAGCTCACCTGGCGCTCTTGACCTTGGTGCTGGTATCTGTGCATTGATACGCGGCCCAGGACTCTAATTGCTTTTCCTAAGGTCCCGAGTGTCTGGAGGCTGGCGCTGGCTATACCCTGCGGGCATAATCCTGCTATAAATCTCCGATAAGCCTCTTTAATTGCATGGCTGAGGTTTGCTTGGGTGCCCGCGACCTGGTGTGGGGAGCGGGGAAGTGGGGCAGCTCAGAGGGATGGCGAGGAGGGCTCCAGGCCACGCCCACCCGACTTCAGGCCACACCCACCCGGCTCCAGGCCACGCCCGCCCCTGCTCTGGGCCTCTCCCACCCCGCGCAGGCAGAGTTTGGAGACCTGGACCCCCTCCCACCTCCAAGAGGACTGGTGGTCAGCACCCTGGTGGAGCCACAGCCCTCACGCTCGGTCCCTGTCCTTTCCTCGGCTGCTGGGATCCGGTTCTACACCTTCCTCTGGCCACCACTCTGTACAGGCCCCTCCCCTCCCAAAGCTTGAATTCTTCCCCAAAGGAGCCCACTGCCTTCTCTGTTTAAGGGACAACCTCTGCAGGATTTAGAGACAGAGGTGCTGTGTGCGAGGACAGAGGGCCCAGAGTCTCAGGGGTTGGCTGTGTTCTGTCTTTGGCCCAGGAGACGTAGAGGTCCCCCCAGGACTCACATAGCCTGCCCCCGCCCATATGCCCAGCACCGCTGTCCTGGATGGTCCTTCAAGGTAGGCACTGCTCACCCCACTGGGCAGCAGAGGAAGAGCTGGGGCACAGAGAAGCCACCTGATAACTGGCACCAAATCACTCGGCACATGAGAGGCAAACAGGGATTTGACCCTGGCCGAAGGGCCGGAGGGCTCATGTGGTTTTGTATCCTTGTCTGCCCCTCTTCTCCCTCCACTGTCCCTCTTGCTGAGACCCATGTGGACCAGCTTGGGTGTGAGTGCTGGGGCGTGACAGGGACACACACATTCCAGGGTGGGAGAGCCACGGCAGGGTCAGGGTCTGGGCATTGTGTGGCTAAAGGTGATACCGCGCGGCTTTTTTCTTTCTTTTTGTGCTGGGAATTGGGAAGCTTTGGCCCAGGGTGCTTTGCCATGAAGCCACCTCCCCAGCCTTTTTAATTTCAAGATAGGGTCTCTCTAAGTTGCTTAGGAACATGCTAAGTTGCTGAGGCTGGCCTCGAACTCGTGATCCTCCTCCCTCAGCCTCTGAGTTGCTGGAATCCCAGGTGTGGCCTCCTCACCTAGCTGTTGTTTGAATCTTTTACAGGCATCTAATCAGATGCTGGGGAGTTAGAAAACTAAAGCCCGCTCACGAGTTTTACCAAGGACCCAGCATTCGAGATAAACAAGAGCGTGAGCTACTGTGCCAGCCCCAACGTAGGCCCTCCTGCCCTGGAGCCCCTCCAGCGCCTCTGCCCCTGGGGACACTCCCACCTTGCTGAGGGCCTGTTTCCCCATCTGACTGTGCCTCCCGTGTCCTCAGACCCTCCTGCTGCTCCCTGTGCCAGGGTGAGAGTCATCCTGGAGCCGAGCTGGGCCTGGCCCCGTGGATGGGCATCCAGGTCCCCCGACCCCACCTGCTCAATGAAATCTGATTTGGAAGAATGTCTTTGGGTGGGTGAAAAGAAGAGGAGAGAAAGCGGCGCTCCGGCTGGCCAAATTGAAATCAGAATTGAGCGGCTGGTAGAAAGAGGCCGCTGCACCTTGTAGCCTAATCCCTGCAAAAGATTAAAGATGTCTTTGGCCGAATATTGTATTGATTCGTCCTCTGAAGTATAAATCATCTGTGAGTTGTTCAGAGGAACACGGGGAGGGGAGGGGAGACAGGGAGGGCATGTTCCAGGTAGGAACATCAGAGTGGTGGCGAGCAAGTCCCAGGGTCTACCCTGGGCTGGGCTCTGGGTGTCTCAGAGGAGTGTTTTTATGATCATCTCCTAGGCGAGGAAACAGGCCAGAGAGGGCAAGTGGTTTTCCCAAGGTCACACAGCCAGAGTATGGGGGATTTGGAACAGGAACCTAGCTTTGTCCTTTGCAAGGGGAGTTCCCTGATGGCCCCTAGGATGGCTCAGTGCTGTCGTGAATCCTGTTGACAGCCCCGTGCACCCTGTGTATTTATGTCCATTTTATAGATGGGCAAACAAAGGCTCAGAGCGCAGTGAAGGCTTTGAGCCAGGCCGTCAGACCAGGCCCCTGACCTCACTCTGCCTTCCTACCTTGTATCACAGAGGCCGCGCTGTGTGGGGGTTCAGGCTCCTAGGACAGGCCTGGGCTCCAGGGCAGCTACTTATTGGCTGTGTGCTCCTGGGGAAGTCACTTAGCCTCTCTGAGCTCAGTTTTCTCCTCAATGATATGGGCTAGGATGTCAGAAAGAGAGGAGCACTGGGTGCCTGCTGATGGGGACTCAGGGATGAGTCCTGGGGCTTTGTTTTCAGGGTCTGACTCCCGGGGTCCCCCGGCCCTGGTTGGTACCTGGCCACTACTGGAACCAAGGGAGTTGCGTGGGGTAGGGGGCACCGGAGGGGGCAGGCAGTGCTCTCACCAGGGAAGCACGCATGGCCAGGGGTGGGGACAGAGCCACAGGATCCCGGGCAGAGCTGCTCCTTACTGGAAGGCGGGGGGGTGGGGCAGAGCCGCTAGCTTCACGGTTGGGCAAGGCGGGGCATGTGTGGGCGTGTTGGGGACGGTGTCCACGCGTGAATTTTTGGACATGTGACTGGGGGCTGCCTCCATGGCATCAGTGGGCACAGCCGTGTGCGCCTGCGGGGTGGCATGAGGGTCTGGTGCCCCTCCCCCGTGTCTCCCCTGGGTGGGCCCAAGCCCCTGGGGAGGGGCTGCAGGCAGAGGTGAGGGCCTGGCCAGGGCTGGGGTGAGAGGCGCAGAGCGGCCTGGGCTCCCCGGATAAGGCCCGTGAGTCGCAGGTGGAGGAGACAGAAGCAGAGAGGCCTGTGCAGAGGTGGCCAGGTCCCTGAGGCCCCTTCCTGGGCACGTTTGGCGGTAGGAGCATGAACACCTGCGGCTCCTCAGCCCTCTGCATCCCCGGGCCCTGCTGTGGGCCTCAGTTTACCCGCACCGATGCCCCCCACTCCACAGTGAGGAACCCCAGGGCTCAGGGATGTCAAGGGTCCTGCCCCAGGTCGCAGGGAGCATGCGTGTCAGAGCCCGGGCGCCTGTGGGTGGCGGGAGGGATGTGCCCCGCGGACCTGCTTCACGGGCGTCCACTCACGAGCTCTCAGGCAGCCCCTCCACAGAGGCCAGATCGAGGCTCAGAGACCACACGGAAGGCAGAGGGACAGGATCTTGATCCAGCTGAGGGTCTCCCTAGCCAACGAGCTGTCCCACCTCGGGTGCATGTGACAAGGACACAGGTGACATTCTCCATAGGGTCCCCTGGGAGTTGGGCTCTGGCCTAATCAGGTGGGTGGGTCCAGTGCTCCAAGGCACGTTCACGCTGAGCTCCTGGGGGCCGAGGTGGCCCCTCTGGGCGGGCGGAGGGAGCAGACTCAGGCCTGCTCTTGGGAGGACATCCTGTCCCCTTGCACAGCACAGGTTCTGAAGCCTCACCTCCTGGTGTCCCCGAGTCCCCCATTGGTATTCCGGAGACGCTGGTGAGTCAGGCTGCTGCTCTGACCTCCAGCTCCGGCGCCCGGGACTGAGTAGCAGGCTGGGTGGCAGGCTGGCATTCCGATGGCCTCTGTCAGCGGAGCAGCTGCGATGGCTGTGGCCCTGCTGGGAGGCTCAGAGCTGGGCCAGGGGGCTTCTGGCCCTGGCTTCCCTGCTGCGGATGGACACCCCTGCTGAGGCTCCTGGTGAGGGGGGAGCTTGGCCACTGGGAAGAGCCGCGCCACCCAGAGGGGCTATTTGTGTTTTGGGGGAGCCTCTGGGTGCCCCTAAACCAGAAGCCCCTAGGATGGGTGCTCAGAGCACCCGCTCCCCTTCCTGCTGCCTCCCCCTCCCCCTGCTCTGACCACACCAGCCTCTGTCCTGCTGCTGTGGTGCCAGGCACAAGCCAGCCCCAGGGCCTTTGCCTGGTCTTTCCCTGCTCATCCACGTGGCCCACGTCCTTAGAGCGTCCAGTCCCCTCCGTAGACGGGCCTCTGAGCACCCTGCATAAACCGCCTCTCCTTAGCCCGCGACTCTCCACCCTGTGCCCTGCTCTGTTTTCCTTACAGCACTAAACTAATAACTTTTTATTTATCTGTTTACAGCCTGTAAGGGCAGACTT